TGTGTGTGTGTGTGTGTGTGTGTGTGTGTGTGTGTGTGTGTGTGTGTGTGTGTGTGTATTCTTTCTTTCTAAAGGTCCCTGAGAGCAGTCAAGGACACAATCCTTCTAAGAATAGTCTCTAACTACGTTTTGGCATAAACATTCATATACGTCGCTTCACCACAAGAGGGCGCTAAGAGCACATGACAATAAGAGCTCATGTCACTTTGACCTGATGCATAATGATAGTTCTGTTGATTGCAAGTTTCCTATTTTATGTGTGTGTGTGCTTGTGTGTGTGTGTGTTTCTTTTCTATAAGCAGTGTGTCTAAAAATCAAATAAACAGCAAGAAATCACCACCACCTACTCCGTGCCTGTTTGACCTCACTTACTTAAAGCACAGACTGTATTCATTTTTCAGTCTGGACTGGGAACAGCTAAAAGGCCCAGCTGCTTTCTCTGAGATTTTTTCTCCTTGAATCTCAGAAAAAGGTGGTTCAGTAACAAGCTAAATAAAAGAAACTCTTAGCTATGTTGGCTTTGTAACTTTCTATAACACAAGAAAATAGAGTTTTCCAGCAACAAAGACAAATGAAGTCAAAACTGTTTTTGTGCACTCACAGTGACTGCTTGCTATGTGATGTATTTCCAAAGCCTTTCTGTGAGGCCCTGTCTGAACCCATTCATATACATATAAAGCTGATATAAACTAATTGTATGGGAACACAAGAGGGCAGTACAATAAAGCACGCTGTGGAGTGAAGTCTCCGAGTGTGGCTGAAAGAAAGAAGCGAGCTCACTCAAAACAAGCCTGGGTGGTGAGATGAAGAGGGGAGGCAGGGCAGCAGTAAATGATGCTAGCCTTCTACACCTTGTCAGTTATTAGGAGAAGGCAGAGGAGAAATCTGACATTACTTTGTGAAGTCTACAGAGAAAATAATTGGCTAGAGCAGGCCAGCACACTGGCAGCTAAAGTACCTGGAAGGGATGTTTTAAAGTCCCACAGCTAAAGGGAGCCAGAAAGATAAAAAAAAAAAAAGAAGAAGAAGAAAAAAAGAAGACATATAAACTCAAAATCAAAAATTCAGCTCACACTACATCCACACTATGGATTTTTGTGTTCCAGCTTTATAAAGCAGGGCTGCAGTGTAAGATGAGTTAATATTTCACACGGGCACAAGTGAAAATAAACTGAAGACAAGAATGGAAAAGAGAGCTCTTTCTGAACCTCGAATCATGCTCTCTGATAATCAGCCCACAAACCACCAGCTTCCTTCTATATTTGGTTTTAAGTGGTAAATGCAATCATTTGTTTCTGAGCTCTTATGTATATATATATATATAAGTCTTATATATATATATAAGTCTGGGGTCATCAATTGAAATGTGTGAAGCCTCCAAAAATAGGTTTATGTGACAATCAATACACGTATGCATAAAATGTATCTTTTTTTTCTTTTCTTTTTTTTTTTACAAAAAAGCATTTTTTTATTCCCCGATTGCTCATGCCACAAAAACTTTTGGGGACCAGGACGATGACATTTGTAAATGTTATTACTGGTCACAAACTCTTACTTTGAAACTAACAATATAACATTTTTAATCTTTGTGGCATAAGACTTAACAAACAGTAACATAAACTGCATTACATAGTGTTATATAGGCTAGTTTTGGCTGAGCCACATCAAATATCTCTTCTTAGTATTGTATGTGGATTTTTCTGTGACATTAAAAAAGGATTCATACAAGAGAATACAGACTATTTGCCTTTACTTCACCTTGTTTTTAGAAGGTAAGCTGTTCAGGTTCTTGGCCTCTCATTGCATCAGGTGTTTATCATTGACTGTGCTGGTGGAAACACAACACCATATTGTCACCTGTTCACGAGGCTCGCGCCTTCGTTTGCCACTCACCGCCAGAGAGGAGCTCTTCTTTGTCTGACCCAGATGTTCCCATATGTGAGATTGTCCTCACTTGTCTTGCACCCATTGATAAAGGTCATACGAATCACCTGAACCTCTGGGATAGTGTCTGTTCTACGATATATTTTCTTTTTCAGTTTACCCCCTTTTTTCCAAGTAAAGGAAGAAAAGCGATTGGACAGTACCCAGCAGAAAACACTCTGTGTGTGTCCTGATTCGTGATTAACTGTGAGACAAGGCAAGTACACTTAAAAACAAGAGAATAAAATCCAGCCACTGGAGATGCAGCGTGGCCGCTCACTTCCTTCATTTGCCTATTATAGAGCAAGTGTGTAGAAACAAGCCGAGATTAAGCTCAGCATTAATTTGCCGTTTGTTTGGCCTCTCCCCCTAACACTTAATCACTGAACACTTTAAATTAGAACAACTGTCTTCCAGGGTAGGATAAAGCAAAGAAAAGAAGAGGAGGTGGTGAGTGGTGAAATGAAAACAATTATCAGAAGGTGTAAATAGCCAACATTTTATTTAACATTACAGAAAACACTTTGAAGCAGCACCCAGCAATAAACTAATTCCTGACATTAGTTCTTCTCCAGTTTATCAAAAGCAGATTTCTGTGGTGCTTTTCTCCCTCTGTTGGCAGCTTTAAGGTCTAGATGCAAAAGCGTTACTAAAATTGTAAAAAAAAAAACCAAAAAACCTGCAGGCTGCTACATCATTGGCGTTTAATGCAGTCGAGATTTGAATATCACGAAAGTGTCTGCGCTTTAATGCTCTGCGGCAAGACACAAGTAAGTTAGCATTCCTGCGACGTTCAGTCAGCATGCAGATAATTTTCACGAGCGTCACTGAATCATGAAGGACACTTAAGTCTGAGATGTGATCAAAATGCAGAAGCAGCGCCAAGCATTTGGACTTTGTTAAACTGTAGTGATGCAACAATGTCCATTTGTCTGCCCTCTGCTCCAAAGAGTCTCTGTTCTCTCCTGTTATGTGCGTGTCCCCGACATTTCGATCACACATCCTGACCCCTGTATGAAACGAGCAGGCCAGACATCAAGGACAGCTACAGTGAGAGCGGAAACAGTTAACAGGATGAAATGTTGCACAAAGTCAAAGCAAAAATACACATCTAGAGTGAAACTGGGGAAACAAATAGGGAAACAATAAAAAATGTTAAAAAAATAAAACATTTAAAACTCTAAATTGGGGACATTAGTGTGTACTGAAGTGCACCTTGGACAGCCTGGAAATAGACTGTTGCTGCCCATGAAGCACCAGGCACTCAGTTACATAACAGACTGGTACCTGGATGTATAGTGCCATCATGTGCTCTGCTAGATTCATTACAATCTTAAAAAGACATTCAAAGCAGGGCTTGTAAAAATGTTAGAAAAGTTGTTTGTTTTTGCACATGTAATTCTAAAAGTGTCAGTACACCCAGCTCAAGCCTGTCATTGAAATTAAAGCTGTAAAGCTGGTAATATATATATGCAAGGTTTGCAGCGCAGCAGCAGTATTCAGTTTTGTGTCTGTTCTACTTGTTTGTGCTATAAACTGGTGTTGGGCCTTTTCATTCGTCTTTCAATGGACTTGAATCAGAATGAGAGACAGGAGCGCTGAGCTATGAAGGAATAAATCCCAGGAACAGGAAACAAGAGCAGGGCTACTGTTAGGGATACCACCTGGAAAGGATGGATTCTGCCTCCTCACACTTCTGGTGCGAAGTGTGGTTGTCTTCTTTGTTTGGATGGACAGACTATCTGTGGTAAAAAATTGATCTGTGGCAGATGTCGTGTTATCTTCATCGGTCATTTCTGTAAGGAGACTTGTGTCTGTGGTTGAGGTTTGCTTTGTTGCAGAGACATGAAGAGAATCAGAGCTAACACTTGCAGACATGTGATCAATAGTTAGGTGTGTGCCTGTGGTTTTGTACTTCAGGGTGGCCATGCTGATGCTGGGTGTGGCTGTGAAAGTGTGGTGTTTTGTGTCCCATGTCTCTCTTGGGGCAACAGGAGTGTTCAGCGAGGTAGAAACAGACAGATACCACCAGCCGGTGACACTAGCTTTAGGGGTCATAGAGGTCAGATCCTTGGCGCTGGCAGCCAATGGGGGTAAGTTGTAGGAGGCATAATGCCACCCTCCCGTCCTGCCAGGGCGCACCCCTCCACAGACGGGCTGAGTGTGGCATGGGCAGCCCAGGACACGTGCGGGGGTACGCTGAGTCCAGGAGAGCAAGTAACTGATGTCGGCATAAAGGTGGCAAGCCCAAGGATTGTTTCCCAAAGCAATGACTTTGAGCGATGTCATTTTGTCCAAGACTCCAAGAGGCATTGCAGAGAAGCGGTTAGCATGCAGGTAGAAGTAAGTTAGTCTGGGGAGCCGATCTAAAGATCCGGGAAGTACTTTTACTAGCCAGTTGTGGGACAGGTCAAGAATCTCCAGGCGTACGGGTAGGTTGGTAGGCAAAGTCCAGAAGTGATTGTGGCTGAGGTTGAGCGTGCACAAACTGCTCAGCGTGTTGTTGATAAAGGTGGCTCTCTCCATTTTGTTGTTGGAGAGGTCAAGCAGCTGCAGGTTCCACTGGTAAACCGTGTCATTCTTGTCCAACAACTGAATGCGGTTGGAGGAGGCATAGATCCGCCAGAGGGAACGAGGTAGGTTTGCGGGCAGTCGGCTCAGCCGATTGTGAGACAAATCTAGAACGCGGAGATGGGTGTAAGCGGTAAGTTGGTCATCCAGGCTGTGGAAACGATTGTGGGACAGGTTAAGGGAGCGCAGGTTGTACTGTAAGTTGTTGGGCAGACTTCTTAGACCCCTCGAGGAGCAGTCTACCTCCCTGTGGCTGCGACTGCAGGAGCACACGGAGGGACACACAGCCAGAATTCGCAACCCAAGCCATAACACGAGCACGAGCTCCAGAAGAGAAAGCTTCCACCTACAAGAAAGACAGCAAACCAGTGTTATTTGTACACAGCATCATTTTCAGAAGGCACACTGAAAGCGAGGCCTGCAGGGTGTGAAAATAGTGAACAAAGGATACAAACATTTGCTGCCTGTAGGAGAAGCATTTCAAACTATACAGGCTGGTTCTTTCTCACTTTCTCTCCACAAACATACACACATCTCTCACACATGTGCACAGACAGGTAGCTTAATGTTTCCTGTGCATCACTACATTGTTTGCAGGTACACACATTAACGTCACATACCAAACTGACTCCCCCAATTATGCAGCCATGTCTTTAGAGATTCTGTAGCAGTATCCTTTATATGCAACATTAGGAAAGTGCTTAATTGTGTCCTTTTGTAGAACTGATAAGCGCTTGATCTGAACTCAAGGAGGATATTTCTAATCTATTGAAGAAAATCATCCATCACAAAAGGATGAGAAATCCCTGCTGTCATTTTCCCTGGCATCAGTTTGCGTGTTCAGTCATCAGCGCTTGTCAGTAAAGTCACTCCCATGCTCTCAGAGGAGGAGAACTATCTCAGTAGATGGGTTTTTATTAATGACTCCACAGAGAGCTCATGCATCAGCCGGTCCGAAGGCAGGCGAAGACACAGTCGCGAGCTGCTTGCTGTTGAAACTGCAGTATCTTTGAGCCGAGGGTGTGGCAGAACGTGTGAGTAAAAAGAGTGATTAAATTTGTTCAGAACTCACCTTCTCATTTTATCATTCCACTCACTTTTCTCTGCTCCTTCTCGCTGTCCAGCCCCCTCTTTCCCCTGTCCTTTTCTGCTTTTGATCCCAGGACCAGCTGGTGTTCTGCTGAAGGTGTTTTTTTTCACCCTTTTCCGCTCATAGAATTGACCTCTGCCTACTCGACCATTTTTTTTTTGTATCTTTTTTTCTCAGGCTGCCTTCACTTCTTTGCAGTTTGGTCCTTGGCTGCTCCTTGAAAAGCTGAGAGTTTACTACCGGCTCTTATGGATCTTTTGGGGTTGGCGTGATCACACACTGCAAGCTCTGGATTTACTCTGTGCAGTGGAAGTAAAAGGGGAGGGCTGGGGTGCTTGTGAGTGGGTAAGGTGGGGGTTGAGGGGGTGCATTAGGATGGAGGTAAGGAGAAATGTAGCGGATAATGAAGGGATCTCTGCATAAAAAGGACTACAAAGGAAACCACTTGGTCCCTTCCAAACCTGGCAGCTCTCAAGATTTCCCTCTGCATTTTAAAACGATAGCTGCTGCTGTGCTCGGATTTCAGCCCTGTTTGTATTTAAATAGGATCGACTGTTATCAGTTATCTCACATAATCTACACCCCCTCTTAAAGCCTCCTTTTGCAAATGTAATGATGTGCTTCAATTGGGTCTTATTTTCCTTGTAAATGTTGGAGGCTGCCACAAAAGAGCACCATGATTTATTGCAGAGCACTCTCCCTCTGCTGCAGCTTCCTACCTGTCATCAGCAATACAGGCAACTCTCCGTTCTGCACTGCATTGCTGTATTGCTACCACAAAATTAGACTTGTTCCAAAGAGACAGTTAATCAGTGTTTCAACTTTTCAAGTGCGACAAATTTGACAAAAATTATTTTTGCACAAAGACAGCTCACATTTCTGACTGCAGAACCCTGGCAGCAGTTAATCGAAATCTTCTTTTTTAAAACTATTGTCTCAGCTCAGTGGTCACCTTAACCGAAAACACATTTCAGCAAAGTGCTTGTTACTTCCTCCCCACCTTTTCTTTTCTGTACTTTCTTTTCTGGGTTTAGCAGCTTGCTGAGATGAGGTTAAGTTACATGTATCCTGTAACTGGCCCTTACAAGAAGCTTCACGATCACTCCACATCTGTCTACCACCACCCTTAGCGTGCTATAAAACTGCTTTCAGCTCGTGCAGTGTTGCCAAATACTGCAGCAGTAGCAGGAAAGAAAAAAAAAGAACACCCAATAACCCAAATTTGACTTTGTATACCTGCTGCACCATACAGGCAGTAAAGAGTTGCTGAAATTATTCACTCATTATTTCATCAATGTACATGCATCACCTAGAGCCATGCTTTTATTTCTCTCTTTTACTTTTTATCTCTTCTACTTTTGCATTCAGTGCCAGTGGTATAAATGCACTACCCAGCTCAGCAGAGAACAAACTATTCAGAACTGCTAAAGAAAGGTGCACATTCATCATGACGTCACCTGCAAGTGGATAAACAAAGTTCTGCACGTGACAGCGGAAACAACCCCGTATTGGTTTTTTGGAAAAGTTTTCTGCGTGTGTGTGTGTGTGTGTGTCTGTGCTTCTATGTATGTCTTTTGTCAGCTCTGGCTGAGGTGAAAGAGAGCATTCTTTTAGAGTTGAGTGGCACTGCCTGGAGGACGCACATTCTCTGCTTGCTAATCAAGCAAACCGCTTACACACAAACACACACACACACACATACACACACATACACACACACACGAATGCCAGCTCGTTACACAGCTGAAGGGCCAGTGATGACTCTGAATGATGGATCTCTGTTGTGCTGGTTGCGTGATTGTCAAATTAGAGTAAGAGAGGAAAAACACAAACACACAAGGTGAGCTGGGGGGAAAGAAACAAAAAGCTTATTCTAATGTTAAAATATTTTAATTTTCACACACAAGAATTGGAAGCAACATCACTCTGTTGTTTTCCCAGTAATAAAATGGTTGACAAGCTTAGAATACACACAGCTGGTTGATTATCAAATTGAAATCTGTCTGGAGAAAAAAATTACAGTTAAAGGATTTAAAGCCAAAGTGAAATAAGGGCAGCTATACACAAAACTCCACATCACATCCTTTGGCAAAGAAAACAAAATGTTCATATATTAAGCTTCTTATATAAGAAGAGTGATGTAGGCTGTATAAGAACACAAATAGATAGGAATCTTCTATTTCTTTTCTGCATCACCTTCCTCTTTGCCCTCAGAGGAGGCTGCTTCCACAGCTTGGCTGGGCTGGGCTTCGGTGGCCGCCTGTGGGTTGGGGGAGGGTGAATCTTCAGCTGCAGTTACAGGTGTAGCTGAAGCCTCCTCGCTGTTGGCTGCATCTCCCACCGCCTTCTCCTCTGGTGTTTTCTCATCCTCCTTTACCTTCTCACCGTCTTCCTTGATGGTGCCGTTATTTGTCTCCCCTTGTGCTGGAGTTACCTCATCCATTAACATGGTGGTCTCTTTGGCTGCTCTCTCAGAGTCAGGCTTACTTTTGGCCTTATTCTCAGTCCCCATCCAGTACTCGTTGTTGCTGACAGGTTCGCCATCGGTTCTCAGACGTCTCTTCAACTTGCACACCTTGCACAGCAGTATCAGTGTCAATATCATAAAAAGAACGCAGTTTAATAACAGTACGCCAGACAGTATGTACAGATCACGGCATTCAGCTTTGAATTTTTGAAAAACACTATGGGTGGTTGTTGGTGTCTTCACAGTGGTGGTGGTGGTGGTGGTGGTGGTGATGCTGGTAGTGGAGGCAGAGCTGATGGCAGGCTGAGATACACTTTCAGCCTTGCTTCTGGAACCAGGGGAGGTTGCTGTTGATGAATGAAGCGTGGATTGATCGCCATTAGATACAAGGGTGGTTTGAGTCATTGTGTTAGCATCACTTTGCCCTGGGATAAACAGCAATACACCCAGGATGAGCAGGCCGTTCATGTTTGTATCTGTGAAGACATGGCAAAGCAACATGGTTTAAAATCCATCTATTGCAGTAATGTCAGAACAGGAACAGGAAAGAGACTAGTACAATTACAAGGGACTTGTGCTGTCCTTTGCATTTTCTAATATTCTATACATAGACTCCAGAACATTTTAGATGTAATTATTACAGTTTTTATTCCTCTACTACATCCTAGTGTATATGACAACTCCTGTTTTAAAAACTAATCACAGGGCATTGTTGTTTCTCAAGCTGTTCAGGACCATATAGAATAATTTGTCCCATCTTCAGCAGCTTTATTGGCTTTATTGCATTTCGTTGCCCTGTACCTGTGCATGTGCAATGACAATAAAGTTGAATTCTATTCTATTCTATTCTTTATGGCTCTTTATGTAAATGTTGATGCTAACTATTTCAGAGTACTTCTCCTTTAGCTGTCAGCTGCGGTATCATAGTTTCTGTAATTTCTCAGTGTGTTTGATTTCCAAAAATACCCCCCCCCCCAAAAAAAACAAACAAAAAACAAACAAATAAAAAACAAAAAAATAAATTAAAGGTACAAAAGCACACTAATAATAATGATTATTACTAATAATTACCTCTTGGTTTTTTTGCATTTAATAGAAGTCAGTGACAGTGTCATTGTGAGTCTACTGGAGATTTCTTTTTAAATTCCAAAGTGTGGGTCCCAATCAGTTGCATAGAGTATTAGTGAGCTGTATTAAAATGGAAGGGATCGTTGTTGTATACTTTTGTCAGGCGCCCTGACCATCCCAGCCTTACCCCAACACCTATAATGAGTTCTGTAGTGATCTATGTAAATACAGCTTTCATAAATCAACTACAAATTCATAGTTTTGAACTTCATTAAACTCAAACTTCATCACTTCATCCTTACATCTGTGGAGTTGGACAATTTTTTTTAAAAAGTGTGCATAATCCTGTTTAATATACACAATCGTATTTATACTGGTGGTACGCACCATTAACACTGACTAACACTTCAAGATGAAAACTAACACTTTAGATTTGATTTAATCAAATACGACATCCCATTCTGTTTTGTTATAAAAACTAAAGCTGAAAAAATCACTTTTTTGAAAACTGTTCATTAGGTAATGAGTACATTTTTTAACTATAGGGTTGGATACTCTTAGGTACTCAAAAAGAGTATGTGAATTTGTGAATCTTTGGAAAATTATTAATTACACGTTTCCATATTTAATTTTTTTTTTCTCTGTATTTCAGTGTCAATTTATATTTGCGAAAACACAATTTTCCTTTTATGCTCCCAACATTAAACGGCTATCAAACCCTCAAACAGTCCATATATGTGTCCAAGGTCCACGTAGGTGGGAAGCTTGCTGCCATGCAACCTACCAAGAGCTTCTTCTAACTGAGATCTGCACTCGATTTATAATCAAGCTGCGCATTTAAAGATAAAGTTTGCGACTTACATTGATGATGATCTTGATATAGTTCCAAGAAGACTACAGCTCTGTGTGAATACTATAATCACGTATTCAGTATGCTGCAGGTGAAGAGATGTGAATGATGTGGAAAGCTGCTGGGAGATTTGACAGTAATCTAAATCAACGGCACACTTGTCTTTCTGACTCATTCTTACTTCTCCATTTAGGCTATATTAAGAAAAGGAAGTGGTTTTAGTGCTCTGTTCTGTGATGCTGTTGATCACGCAGACATCTGTTGGGTGGCATACTATAAAAAGAGGGAGGCGTAAATAATCAGTAAAACCCATTGTTGTCCTACCTAGGACTGCATAATCATCAATACAATTTGCAAAGCAGCGACACCAGTCGAGCTGCAAACTGTGCTATTTTTTACACAATTATTTTGAGCAATTCTATTGTTCTTAAAGGCCTTTCACAGAAACTGACGTGCCAGAGATTCATTTTTTTTTTTAAACCTAAAGCAATAATAATCATGCCTATATCTGTCGTCTTCAATTTCACCTACATATTTTTGTCTGAGCTCTCTCCGACCGCTCACAGAGCACTTTTAATTATAGGCATTGGTAAATGTCATACAACAAACAGCATACAACCTTTCTGACACTTGGTTACCACACACCACATGCAGCGGAAAAGGACAACAGAACAAGCACTTATAGATGACATAAAACATTTATGAAAAACATTATTCCGCATCAGTTCACCAACAGCAAAAAAGAAAAAAAAGGGGAAGAAAAAGAAATTTGCATTAAAAATCGAGTTATTTTATCAACTTCCCCTTTTATTTTCCTCTCTTACTGTATGCTGAGTTACCCATGTGATTTCTGGCTATTTAGGCAGTCTGCACCTGCACTCATAACTTTCAGCTTTAGAGGGGAATGTTTAATTTAGTAAGATGTTGCAGATAAACTGGATGTTTTCTGCAGGCGGTGAAGTAGAGACAGAAAAGTTTGGACCCCCTGCTGCTTAACCTGCTGTGCTGCAGACAATTTAATTATCACGAGCATGAAAACAACACCAGACAGTAAAAACTGGTAATAAAAAAAATGACAAAAGCAAAATTAAAGGTATTAAAGGCAACATCACAACCTGTCATGCTGTTATAATCTACCATCTATAGTCCTTTATTTGCTTGGTCCTCAGACTGGCGGTGGCCAAATATTCTGACAAAGAGTATTAATTCTCTTTGAGCCCTAAAAGCTGACTTAATCTAATAAACATGAGAAGGATGATAAGGCTAAATATGTATGAGGGGAACTGAGAACAAAAGGAAAGAGGATGACTTCATCTCAAAACCCCCTCACCTTTCACTGAATGACGGAAAGTCCCCATTTGTTAGTAAGATCATGATGTGTTTGTTGTAGATGTTTTGCGTGCGTCCAGCTGCCCCACTTTCTTTCCCCTTTTTTTCCCTCTTTCAGTACCTTCACTTCTATAAATAACCAGCTTGCTGGCTGTGTTGGTGGACAGCTTCATTAAGGAGAGTCCCAAGGTCATCAATTGATGGTTGACAGTTGTAGTGGTGCACTCAGCAAATGTTAGAATGACCACGAGAAAGCTCTCTCACTATCTCTGTTGTGTTCTCACCTTGCCCTCTGTTTCAAAACCAAATTGTGGCTATGTGTGTGTGAAGGCTTTTTGTGTGATTTCTGGGTTTGATTTGAACATGCCTGGCATAACACATACCACTGGTTGCACATGTAATGCTGGTACATTTTCAGCTTGCTAATCTGGTAACAAAATCAAACAAATGACTAATTGTCATTCTGTAGCTGACCTTGCAGTAATGGAAACAGTTTTCCCTCACTAAACGCTGGTCATGTGACCCAGTACCAGTTGGAGTCAAAGAGCTTTTTAGCTGCAGTAGAATATACAAGGTCCTCTCTTTGCCATTGATGCCAGTATACAGAAATCAATTCACCATTCTTCTTTTTTCTTCAGATAAAACATTTCAAAGACCAAACGCAAGCACAAGCGCTCATTATCAAGGCACCTTCCGAGGCTTCGTAAACTTGACTGAAGGTCACAGAAAAGCTTCCTAACCAAAATAGGGAAAATGGAATTGCTTCCTTTTATTTATATACCTCCAGCTACAACCATTCAAGCTCTTGTGTTTACTGACTCATAGTGAGCCTTTCGATTATTGTCACTGTTTCAGAGTGAGACCAAATGCAAAACCTGGCCACCCTCTCTCATCTGCTACCAAGGTATGAAATTGAAAACTAATAAATGAGTGTTTGCAGAATATTATGATCACACAGTGAAGTTAACCTTTGAGCTTATGTGCTCATTAATGTCACTGCCCCACATTTTTTAAACCTATTAGACATTTGTATGAAATGAATTCTCAACTCGTAGGCAAAATTTTGTCTTTTTGAGGTTAAAAGTAGCACCATCTTTGGTAAATTCTAAGCAGTTTATTCTTGACATGTCAAATTTGTACAAACTGAGGAAGTTAGCTTAAAATTTAAGACACACCGTTTACATGTTTCCCATCAAGTTACTACATATTTGACAAAAGTTAATGTAAAATGTGCAAAACCATTAAAAAAGAAGCAGTGCCTCATCATGTCTTTACCATAAAAGGAAAGATGGCAAACACTTTCTTTTGGGTCGTTATGCCACCTAGAGGAAAAATGGGATTGTGCTCAGCCTGCTCTTGGCTTGCATCTATAATGTTCACCTATAATAACCATGGAAGTTTATTTTTGATTAGATAATATCTATAATTTATTATAGGTTTGGATTTGTTTTCTCTGTTTTGGACATTAATTTTATGACTGCCACTCGACGCTCTCCTAGCTAACTCAGAGAAATTAAAACACAAAAAAGAAAACTGGAACAGTAATGTTGTCTCAAACAAAGAATGGAAAAAATATTTCAATATTTCTTTAAAAAATAAACTGGTCCAGACAGGAAAACGGGGACAGAGAGAGGGGAAGACATGCAGCAACAAAGAGTCGTGGGTAGCACTCGAACTCAAGCCTACTGCTCTCCGGCCACCAGGCATATGTTTGCCTGCTCACTCACTGAGCTAAACCAGCTTCCCAAAGTGTTTATGGAGTGTTGTAATAAAGGAGAGATGTTCAAAAGTATACACATAAAATATGCATAAAAGTCCAAGTATGCATACATTTTTAAACTACAGCAGTTCAAAGTTATCAGCATTTTATTAGTTTGTATTTGTACTATATCCAAATTATTTTTTATTTGCATTTTTATACTGAAACCCAAATAATTTAGATACTAAGACTGTACTTTATAATGCTTGCAGCTTGTGTTAAAAGAATTCAAACATTGACATAAATAAATCACATTTAAAATTGAAACTTGCTTTGATTTAGCATATTCATGTAATTTAAACTGGAGGAGGGAAGAACAAGAAGAAGAAGAACAAGAAGAAGAAGAACAAGAAGAAGAAGAACAAGAAGAACAAGAACAAGAAGAACAAGAACAAGAAGAACAAGAAGAACAAGAACAAGAACAAGAAGAACAAGAAGAAGAACAAGAAGAAGAAGAAGAAGAACAAGAAGAAGAAGAACAAGAAGAAGAAGAACAAGAAGAAGAAGAACAAGAAGAAGAAGAACAAGAAGAAGAAGAACAAGAAGAAGAAGAAGAAGAAGAACAAGAAGAACAAGAAGAAGAACAAGAACAAGAAGAACAAGAACAAGAAGAACAAGAAGAACAAGAACAAGAAGAACAAGAAGAACAAGAACAAGAAGAACAAGAAGTCCTCTAGATCATATGTTTTATCTTTCTACAGTTTTCTATCTCTTCCACATTTCTACTGAAAGTAGCATGTTTGTTGGTGCCAGATGGGCTGATCTGAGTATTTCAGAACCTGCTGATCTACTGGGAATTTCCCCACACAACAGTCTCCAGGGTTTACAGAGAATGGGCCAATGAAGAGAAAATATCCGGCAAGCTGCAGTTCTCTGGCCAAAAATGTGCAGTGGTGTTTCTACAGTCTGTTGGGGCCAAAGATAAAAATTCAGTGGTGGTCCTTCCAACCAGCACTGATCACCACGTTACAAAAAAAATCTGACATCACAAAAACAAATGAACAAACAGAAACATGGCGACTTAATGCACAGCTAGCCAAGTTAATGCCAAATGTCAAACAAAAGAATGAATTTCATGGTAGCAGAAGTTACGTTATTCAGGCTTCTTTCTCCCACATTTAAGGTTAAACTAGCAGTGTTTAGTAATTTAATATTATATTTAATCCACTCACCCCAGTCTTGCTTTCCCCCCTCCTTATTGTCGTTGCTGTGATTCCAAATCTGCCAGCCCTCTGGGACCAAGCAATTGGCTGCCTAGCTTTCTGAATATGTGATTAACAACATGAACGCATCCATCTCACCTTGTATCAACTGTTCATGATGCTGGTGATGGTGTAACGATGTGGGGAATGTTTTCCTGGCACTCTCTGGTTTCCATGTGAGCATGATTTAAACACCACAGCCTTCCTGAGTATTGTTCCTGAGTATGTCCATCCCTTAATGAGCACTATGTCACAAAGCTTAAATCATTTCAAACTAGTTTCTTAAACAAAGTGATTTCATTTTGACCAGATGGCCTCCACATTCATCAGACGTCAGTGCAACAGCGCACCTTTGGTCAGTTGATGCCATCGTGTTGATATGATGCATAGTGTCCAGTTATTTTGAATACCTGTGCTGGAAAACACATTTTACCAACTTACCATCAGCTGCAAAATAACCGTATCAGCTGTATTTACATGACAAGCCTCACTTTATTGTTTTCCATGGATGAAAACACAAACTGCGTGTACAGAATGGCAATCACATGCAATACAAAAATATGAATTTTTACAACAACATAAAAAAAAAGAAAACAAAAACACGGATTGGCCAATACTTAAAAAACAAAACAAAACAAAACATTGTACAGCTTTTGTACAGCATTCTGTACATGAAAAAAATATAAATATATATACACATCTGTAATAGCCAGAGCAGTACCAGTTCAAAAATGTTGTCATGTGTTTTACATATAAAATGTTTGTAGAAATATTAGAAGAATTGTCTTAATTTGCTGTACATTAAATAATGTATATACAGTACATTACATACCATTGGATTTGCAACACAACATTTACTGTAGTCTTTCACAAATACCACCCCCCCCCCCAAAAAAAAAAAAAAAAAAAAAAATCAAACAGAACAAAAACAACCCTACATGTTCCAACACAGTACACTCACTCAGTC